CTGCCAAATCTCCAGATGGAAATCTAATACGGTGACCAAGACATGGCCAGCAATTTCCCCCTCCGGTAGGTGCTTCTTGGAGACAGCAGGGACAACTCCTGAGGAAGCCCTATACCAGTGGTGGCGAACCTATGGCACGGGTGCCAGAGGCGGCACTCGGAGCCCTCTCTGTGGGCGCACGTGCCGTTGCCCCAGCCTCGCCTCCCCCCATGACCCCCTCCTCTCCAGCAGCCCCCCTGGAGGAGAGTCGCCCTCAAGCGTGGCCCGCACGGAGCAGCGCAGCCAAGGACGTGACAGCCAGGCAGCGTAGACAAGACTCTGCCCTCACGCCCCATCGCGCACAGTTGATGCTGCGGGGCGCGGGCAGAGGGCGTGGCCTACATGGCGCTGCTGGGCTGCCTGGGTGATTTGCGGCAGGCTCTGGAGGCGGTGAGTGGCCCTGCGGGCAGGTTGGGGGGACAGGGGGTGGAGCAGGGGCGAGGCCAATTTTTGGGCACTCGGTCTCTAAAAGGTTCGCCATCATTGCCCCAGAAAACCGTTATTAAGTGAATTTTGACCCATTTTACAACCTTCCTTGCCACAGTTGTTATAGGAATTGCTGCAACTTACGGTAAGCCGAGGACTTTTGATCTGATCCTACCGGAGAATTTATTTTATTTTATTTTTTGGCGGGTAGGAAGGATCCTATAGGGGGAGGATCCTACCTTATTTTACTGTTCTCAGGGCTGAGTTTTATTTTCTGCCCTGTTCGATTAGTTGTTGGGTTTTTTTTAACGTCAGTCCTCATCACCCAACCGGCATCTTTGGTTACAGAGCACTTTAGGTGTTTTTTTCCACATTCGTCACCCCAACCCCCCCAATTTCTCAAATACGCGGCAATCTTTTATCATTTCTGGCGGAAAATAAACGTTCATCTTGCGCTAGCAGCCTGCGCTCTGGTAAACTGGAAGAGCTTTCTTGAAAATACGCTTGTCTCCTTCATCTATTACTCTCCTCTGTTCTGGTTTAAAAGGGCCCTTGTCACTGAGGGAGCTGGGGAAATTTAATATACGGCGTTTAGAACGATGGGAAATCATTTGTACAGCCGCAGTCCATTTACATAGAGCCTTCTTGAGAGCATTTATAAATCTAATGGGCTTATACATCCTCGTTAGTTTCCGTAGTTTATTGCCCCCAGCAAGGCAGAGCGGGCCCACACGACACATTTTTCTCACGCCAGTTTGGCTCACGGGCGCAAAGAATTCGAACCCCAGACCGGCGACTATGGGAAATTTGGGTTGGAAAGCAGATTGCGTCGGGGGTTTGGGGGCCAGGCTGGTTCCCCTTGGAGGCTGCACTGTTCAGTTTGGGATGAGAAACCCATCAGAGCAAAAAAAAACAACAACAACAGGTAGTCCTTGACTTACAACCACGATGGAGCCCAAAATTTATGCATGCTGAGCGAGAAATGAGTTCGGCGAGTTTTAGCCCCATTTTATGATTTTTCTTGCCACATTTGTTAAGTGAACCACTGCACTTGGTCTTCAAACTAGGCCCTTTTATGACTTGAGGACTTCAACTCCCAGAATTCCTCAGCCAGCCATGCCTGTTTTGTTTTTTTTCTCTTACCTCCTCTAGTGGAGAGATTGCATAGGAAGGGATTACAAGAGAGTAAGCATGCCTAGCTGAAGAATTCTGGGAGTTGAAGTCCACAAGTCATAAAAGGGCCAAGTTTGAAGACCCTGTGTTAAATGAATATTACCAATAGCAATAGGACTTAAGACTTATATACCCCTTCCCAGTGCTTTACAGTCCTCTCTAAGCAGTTTACAAAGTCAGCATTTTACAGTAGTGGCCAAAATTGTGGAAACCTTTTGGGAAAAGTGTATTTTTCAGGTTTGATGGCTAATAACACCACCACCACCCTTTTTGGAGTAGTAACCATAAAATTATATATCAGTGGAAAGATAATTTAATTGAGAATGTAATGCAACAAAGTTTGTTCAATTATCTGTACTGTATTCTATGAAATATTATAGCCAAAGAACTAGAAAAAGGAAGCACAACTTGCTTTGGTTGATCTCAAGTAGCTTTCCTTCATCTGATTGTAGCCAATGAGCATGAGTGTTTAGAGAGCCAATCGGATGTTTTGACAATGAGCCAATCAGATCACAGTAGGATCCAGTTATTGATGTCATGTATTGAAGCTGAGAGGAGGACATTAGTGTGTTATGTGATGGCTATCAAGTTGGTTGGGTTTTTTTTGTGTTCTTTCACTGAGTAAGCTTGTAAAACGTCATAAAATTAAAGTAATGGTTCAAAGAGTTGACTGGTCGCCCAGAAAGCCATGTAAAATAGTATTATTAAGTGAAGAAGGCTGCAGTTATAAAGAAATTAGGAGAAAAATGGGTGGAATCTTAAATCAAAGATGGCATTTTTACTGTACACTTTTCCCAAAAGGTTTCCACAATTTTGGCCACTGTTGTAAGTTAAGCGAATCTGGTGTCCCCATCAGAAGGCCACGAGAGGGGATCACGTGATCCTGGGACACTGCAACCGTCCTAAATGTGAGTTGGTTGCCGAGCGTCTGGGTTTTGATCACGTGACCGTGCAGGTCTTAAGTGCGAAAAGTGGTCGTACGTCACTATTTCCAGTGGTGTTGTAACTTTGAACGGTTACTAAATGAACTGTAGTTAAGTGAAGGACTACCTTAACTTACAAGCTTTCGTTGACTCAGCGTTCAAAAAGTCACAGCATCCCTGAAAAAAGTGACTTATGGTCAACTCCTCATATTTACGACTGTCGTTAACAGTCCGCCGGACATGGGATCAAAATTCGGGCGCTTGGCAACCAGCCTGCATTCACGACGCTTGCAGCATTCCGGGGTCACGTGATCAACCTTTGCCCCCTTCCTAGCCGGCTTCTGACAAGCCGAGTCAACGGGGGAAGCCGGGTTTGCTAAACAACTGTGTGATTCACTTAACGGCAGTGATTCGCTTAACGGCCATGGCTAAAAGAGGTTGTAAAATCGGGCCGACTCATTTAACCACCCTCTCTTTGCTTAGTGACAGAAATTCCCAGTCTCAGGTGTGGTTGGAAACCGAGGCAGTTTAACTGTAAAAGGTAGTTTGTGTAGCATTGGCCGTTCGGAGCAAGGTTTTTTCATTTTTTCGGGGAGGGGGGGGGCAATTGTAAGATTCAGGGCGTTCCCAAGTTACGACCATTTGACGTTCTGATGGACTTAAGAAAGCTAATTATGACTCATCCTTGAGGCCAGGCGACGCCATTTTGATTGCTTGGCAGCTGGCTCCCGTTTGCAGCATCCTGTGGTCCACAGGGCCACGATTTCCAACTTTTTTTTTTTTTTTTTTGACAGTTTCCAACAAAACTTTAATCTGGTTGTTTTTAGTGATTGTTTTGTTTTATGGTATTGATTGGTTGTCTTAGAAAGGCTGAGCGCCAAAGAATTGAGGCCATTGAACTCTGGTGCTGGAGAAGATTCCTGCGAGTCCCTTGGACTGCAAGGCGATCAAATCGGTCAGTCCTAGAAGAGATCAACCCCGACTGCTCTTTAGAAGGCCAAATCCTGCAGTTGAAACTCAAATACTTTGGCCACCTAATGAGAAGGAAGGACTCACTGGAGAAGGGCCTAATGCTGGGAAAGATGGAGGGCAAGAGAAGAAGGGGACGACAGAGAACGAGGTGGCTGGATGGAGTCCCTGAAGCAGTAGGTGTGAACTTAAATGGACTCCAGAAGATGGTAGAGGACAGGAAGACTTGGAGGAACGTGGTCCATGGGGTCGCGAGGGGTCGGACACGACTTCGCAACTAACAAGAACAAGTGATTTTATTACTTTAAAATGTTTTTAGTATTTTACCTCTAATATATATTTTTTTGAATTGTAAACCTCCCAAAGTGAGATGAGTGACTGGCTGCAGAAATTGATTGATTGAATGATGGATAAATGAATGAAAAAATCCATTCCTAAGAATGGATCCGCTTAATAACCCCGTGATTTTACTTAATGGCCACATGATTTGAATTTCCATCGTGGTAACTCATTTCCCACAGTCATAACAACACTTGTAAAGTCAAGTCCAACCATGTGGTGCCTCCACTTACGACCGTAATGGCTTACAGCCGAGATTCCAGTCTCCATTGTGGTGTTAAGTCAAGGACTTCCTGCGGGTGGACTTCAACTTCAACCCCCAGGTGACTGGGGAATTCTGGGAGCTGAATTCTCTAAGCCACCATTGCTCAACATTGAGAAATGGTGGCTTGGAGATGGCCTAATGCAGGTAGCTCTCAACTTATAACAGTTCATTTAGTGGCCGTGCCAAGTTACAACAAAACTGAGGCCGAGTGCCCAAACCGCAACCCAAAACCCACTTATTTATTGCAAAGTGCCAGGGCCGCATCGGCATTGTGGTGCCCTCGGGGAGGGGGGTACCTCTGAGTGTTGCCTCTGGCACGCAAACCCCGGGGGCGCAAAAATAGGCCGCCGTGCTGCAACGCGCAAAAACGGCCACCGCCGCGCCGCGGGATGCAGATACAAGGCACTGCACCACGCAAGAACGGGGCAGGGCTAGTATCACGCAGGCACTAGCCCCACCCCATTTGCAGCGCGTGTGCTCGCGGCCCCGTGCGCGCACACACGCATGTAAAATGCTTCCCCCTCCCTTTTCTTCCAGCCCACCAATCGACAATGGTTGGTGACCTCTGCTCTATCACCTGTATTCCAGCTTGCTAGTCGGCCGCTTCGCCTTCTTTGTGCTGGGCAGGGGTCCTGCTCCGGGCGGCAGCGGTGGCCCGATGGATCTGTTGCTGGTGGCGGTGGCACAGAGTGGGCTCTGAGTGCCGCCTCTAGCATGTGTGCCATAGGTTAGCCACCACTGCCATAGAATATGCGCCCACCATGCTTTCTATTTGTGTTCAAGCAGCATTCAGCACCGTAAGAGGGCACGGAAACCAAGCGCGTTCTGGCCATTTCTCGCACCCTCCCCGCATCCCGGGCACGTACTTGATGCTGTCCGTGTGCGTTTTGTACTCCATGATGGTGTTGGGGGGAAGGTTGAGAACTCGTCGTAAGGTGTCCCTGATCCTGGCCGTGGTGGCCTGGTCGCTGGCTGTCTTGTTCCATATGGAGATGATATCTTCCTGCAGGGAGAACCGCCCAGAGGCGATTGAAAAGAGTTTGTAAATATGTGAATTTGAAACATTATAATTTATATGAAACGAGATAAAGGAAATTCGGCTCACCTGAAAGTTAAATTTTATGGATACTAATGATCAGTTGGGAATACATCATTAAAATTTAAAATTAGGTAAAAATTTAATAACAGGGCGTTGATTGTGCATCGAGATTTATTAAGATATGTTAAGCAAAAAATGTATTTATAAATGCGATAATGAAATTTATACTAAGTTCTGATACAATTAGAAATTTGTTAGCTTAAGTATGAGACAGCAAGTGTTAAGGGAAACAAGAGAAGAAATATTTGATGATGTAACCTGAGATACCTACTAAAGATTGTATTACTGAATTATTGTTTAACCCAATTACCACATTGCCTTCTAAATACTTATATGTAAAACTGGAAAATTAATAAAATATCTTAAAAAAAAAAAGAGTTTGTAAAGCCTGAATTTTTTTTACTAGGCATGATGCCAGAAAAACTTGATAAGCACAGTACATACTTGATTTTACATGGGACAACAGTGGCAAGAATTATATTTGCACTATGTTGGAAAAAGGAAGAAACACCACCAGAAGAAGAAAGTATCAAAACAATACTAGACTGCAGAAATGGACAGACTTACTTTAAGGTGGAAAGAAAAAGAAACAACATTTTCAAACTTTGGACCTGTTTTATCGATGGTTAGAGAAAAGATTTAGGGATTAGGAATTTAATTTGTATTAGTGAATAAAATATTCAGATGTTTTTGTTGAATGATTACTATTGAATTCTGTTAAAAAAATAATCAATAAAACTGTCTGTCTGTCTGTCTGTCTGTCTGTCTGTCTGTCTATCTATCTATCTATCTATCTATCTATCTATCTATCTATCTATCTATCTATCTATCTATGTTTTCTGAGGTTTTCGTGGGTGTTTGTATGTAGGTCTTTGGTTATTGCTCCTAGAAGCATGAAGCTGAAAACACCAGCCTGAAGATGACAAATGGAACTTCGTCGAAACGTCGCCAAGACATTTCCAATTTTATGCGGGAGAAAACCCGAATAACCAAAGACATATATATATAAAAAGAGAAGATTAAAGAGGGCAGTCCCTGTGCTCAGTTGGACAGCCGCCTCTGTAACTCCACCCCCCCCCGGCGACTCACCTGGAAACGGACGGAGACGACGGCCCCACAGATTTCTTCCCCCACCATAAACTGTTCTCCCAGCATAGCCAGAATGAGGTTCTCCCAGCACCGGGATGCCAGGCCCTTTCGGAGGCGGATAATCCACTTGCCCCCGTTCTTGTTGGCATCGTCCTGGGAAGAGGGTGGGGAAGAAAATTAGGCATAAACCACAGCGCTGGCTTGAGCTTGCCGAGAGCAGGGATGCTGCGCTGATGGGGGCGACAGGACAAGACTATTTTCCTTCAACAGAAGCATCCAGGTGTCTATTCCCTGACAGGTGAAAGAGGGCGGCAGTTCCAATATAACAGCACCACTTTATGGACAGTTTGGTGTAGCAGTTAAAGAGCTGGCCAAGAAACCAGGCGACCGTGAGTTCTAGTCCCCTCTTAGGCACAAAGACTGACAGGGTGACTGCGGGCCAATCACTCAGAGTTGGTGAGTTCTAGTCCTGCTTTAGGTATGAAACCCAACTGGGTGATTTTGGGCCAGTCACTCGGAGACGGTGAGTTCTAGTCCTGCCTCAGCTATAAAAGTCGACGGGATCGCCCTGGGCCAATCGCTAGGAGGTGGAGAATTCTAGCATGAAAACTGGCAGGGTGATTCTGGCCCAGTCACCGGGAGATCTTTGTTCTAGTCCCACCTTAAGCCTGAAAGCCGACTGGGTGACTTTGGGTCAGTCGCGAGGAGATGGTGAATTCTAGTCCCGTCTTGGGTATGAGAGCTAGCTAGGCGACTCTGGGCCAGTCCCTCTCTCTCAGCCCAACCTACCTCACTGGGTTGTTTATCGTGGAGAAAATTAGGAAGAGGAAGGAGTATTAGCTACGTGCGCCATCTCGAGTTTCTTATAAAGTAATAAGGGTAGATGAAAAAGGAAATCTAATAAATAAATAATTTATAGGCCAGAGCATTCTGAACCAGTACCGTGCGCAAATTCTTGGCCTCCCTCTCGCTAACAGGATCGTTGGCCAACGGCTGCCCTTCTCGCCGAACAAGTGAAAAAAACCGATGACCACAACAATGGGGGACAATGAGGCGTGTCAAACCTACAAAGCTACTTTTGGTCACACAGCCATCTTCCTTCGATTTTCGGCTTGCCACAGCTAAGGGAGGGGGGGAAAATGCATTCTTCTAGTTCAGTCACAACAATAACTTTCCTGTGGGAACCAAGGTCGAATCGCTCAAGTGTTTGGCGGGCTAGAATTACCGTTAGAGAGCCCGCCAAAGGTGTTAATTGGAGAATGTGATTTATTACATATTTAGCGGGTGGGAAGTTTAACTTTTATTTTGTAACCTTTTGGGACGGGGGGGGGAGGGGAAACTTCCAGTCCTGGTTTCACCTATGCTCGTGCTGATATTACGTAGCCATTAAAATTGTTCTTTGAGGAAAGCAATTGCCTCAGAGTTCTTATTTCTACTGGTCTCATCTATCGGAACCAGGACTGAGTGCCTCCCATCAGACTACTCAGTGTTAAACCTGGGATGAAGCCCGACTTACTTCCACAGCGCCAGAAAGGCCTTATTAAGCAAATCTCGCCATCAGCTTTAACACTCACCTCCCACATGGGTTTAATCCCTTCTTTGAAAAGATGGAAGTCGCTGTGGCCTGTCAGGTCCCCAGGACGGACCATGTGGCTGTAAAACCGCCAGAACTGTTCCACCTGTAAGAAATTTATTTACTTATTTAGGGTACGGCATAGGACAGAGGTCCCCCAATCTTTTGGGTGCCAGGGACCGGTTCTGTGGAGAGAGGTTTTCCTGTGGACTGGAGGGTGCGTGGTTTTGTGTGCTGCCTGCATCTCACAGATATTTTATATTATTTATGATCTTGTTTTATATTTTATTTTATTTATTGTTTTATTTTATGTTTTATGCTATTTGGTTATTTTATTCATTTTACGTTTTATTTCATTTTATTATTTTATTTTACTGGGTTGACATCGTATAGGCTTCTCAAGATTCCACGTACCAATTCGTAGTTTTGGGTTTATCATGCTTCTAGCGCAGTGGTTCTCAACCTGTGGGTCAGGACCCATTTGGGGTCGAACGACCATTTCACGGGGGTCGCCAAACAACGCAGTCCGCCATTTTTTTTTACCCTTTTCCTTAGCTGTGCTACTCCCTTTTATTCTATTGGCATTTGAAAGCCAATAGAATAGACTCTCTTGAATAGAGTCTAATTCTATTGGCTTTCCAAAGCCAATAGGAATTGTCCAGACTGTCTCTGCCCTGTTGAGCCCGCCAAAAGTCCCATTCTGCAAACGGTGCTGCACCAGTTGAGTAGTCCTCGACTTACGACCGGTTGAGAACCACTGTTCTAGCGGACAAGATCAGAAATGAGGAGGTGATCAGCCACCTGGGAAAGCCAAGGGAAATCATCAAAACAATTAAAAAAACGAAAATTAGAATATTTCAGACATGTGAGGCGACACCCAGAAAAATACGGCCTACTCCATTTTAATCCTCCAGGGAAAGATGGAAGGCAAACGAGGTCCGGGCAGAAGAACATCGTGGCTTCAAAATCTAAGGGACTGGTTTGGAAAAAACTCAGCAACACTTTTTCGTGCGGCTGCTGATAAAAACAGGATCGCCAACATGATCGCCAACGTCTGATAACGGATATGGCACAAGAAGAAAAAGAAGGGTTGACATCGCTAAAGATTGTTTTTAGTCCAACGTATGGAGGAGATTGCACTGTTCTTTAGAACAGTGCAATCTCCTCCATACGTTGGACTAAAAACAATCCAAGCAAAAGAAACAAATCAACATTATCATTATCATTATACAACCCACATAAAACGTTGGAAATTAACCAGCTGCTAATCTGCAGTCAAATTCTACGAACTACCGGAGAAAATGTGGCGGCATTAAACACCGATTTTGTATCCGAGTCCGACGAAAAGACAACAGATGTAGAGATCGTCTGGTATTGTAAGCAGCGCCATCAATCTATGATAAGAATCTCCATTAAAATCGGAATAGGGCTGGGGTAGGCGCAAGTGACTGAACGGGCTAGCTCCACGAAGGCTAAGCATCTGCAACCTTTCTGGGTCTGCCTTCTAGAATTGTCTATGGTGATGTCAAAAGATCATACAGGCAGTTACAAACAGTTTGTTCAAAGTTACAACGGCACTGAAAGTGAATTATGATCAGTCCTCACATTTACAACAGCTGTAGCAACCCCAGTCATATGCTCAAAATTTGGGCACTTGGCAACAGGGCATGTATTTATGACAGGATTATTGTGTTTTGCCATCTGCAAAACTTCCCAGCTGGCTTCCAACAAGCAAAATCAGGGGGGAAAGATAGATTTCCTTAATGACCCAACGATTCACTGTAATGTGCTTTACGGTGGCAAAAAGTTTGTAAAATCAGGCACAGCTGAATTCCTTGCTTCTCCAAAAATAAGACCGGGTCTTAATATCAATTTTTGCTCCAAAAGACGCATTAAGGGGCTGCCCCAAAGAAGAGGGAGTCAAGCTCTTCTCCAAAGCGCCTGAAGGCAGGACGAGAAGCAACGAATGGAAACTGATCAAGGAGAGAAGCAACCTAGAACTAAGGAGAAACTTCCCGACAGTTAGAACAATTAACCAGTGGAACAACCTGCCTCCAGAAGCTCTGAATGCTCCAACAGTGGAAGTTTTTAAGAAGATACTGGACAGCCATTTGTCTGAAATGGTATAGGCAGGGCTTTTTTTCTGATAGAACGCCCAGAACAGAGTTCCGGCACGTTTTTTGGATGGAACCTTGTAGGATAGGCAAGGTGGGTTGTATGAAGTGTGTGAGTTCTGGCACCTTTTTTTTTTTAAAACAAAAAAAGCACTGGGTATAGTGCAGGGGTAGGCAACCTTGGCTCTTTTATGACTCGTGGACTTCAACTCCCAGAATTCCTGAGCCAGCTATGCTGAAGTCCGCGAGTCATAAAAGAGCCAAGGTTGCCTACCCCTGGTATAGGGTTTCCTGCCTGAGCAGGGGGTTGGACTAGATGACCTCCAAGGTCCCTTCCAACTTTATTATTATTATTATTTAAGGCTTATTTTCCAGTTAGGGTTTATTTTCGGGGAAATACGGTACTAAATGCATCCGTCTGGCTGACGATCTTAACTGGGGCTTATTTTGGGGGTGGGGCTTATATTACGAGCATCCTGAAAAATCACACTTGGGCTTATTTTCCAGTTGGGTCTTATTTTGGGGGAAACACGGTAGTCACAGAAATGTGGGTACCGATTGTGGTTGTTGAGGACTACCCGTAGCACAAAGACTCTCCAATATTTAGCCTTCTGATGGAGAGGTCAGCAGCGGGGTACCACAAGGTTCCGTCTTAGGCCCAGCACCCTTCAACATCTTCATCAATGATTTAGATGAGGGAATTGAAGGGGAACTCATCAAATTCGCAGATGACACCAGACTGTCAGGAGTAGCCAACGCCCTAGAGCAGGGGTAGGCAACCTCGGCTCTTTTATGACTCGTGGACTTCAACTCCCAGAATTCCTGAGTCAGCATGGCTCCGCTTGGAAACTTCTCCCTTTCCCCTCAGCATGGTTGGCTCAGGAATTCTGGGAGTTGAAGTCCACGCGTCATAAAAGGGCCAAGTTTGAAGACTCCTGGTTTAGTGCATAGGCCAGGGGTAGGCAACCTTGGCTCTTTTATGACTCGTGGACTTCAACTCCCAGAATTCCTGAGTCAGCATGGCTCAGTTTGGAAACCTCTCCCTTTCCCTTCAGCATGGCTGACTCAGGAATTCTGGGAGTTGAAGTCCACGAGTCATGAAGGGCCCATAGTTCCCCCATGCTGGCTCAGGAATTCTGGGAGTTGAAGTCCACGAGTCATGAAAGAGCCGAGGTGGCCTACCCCTGCCCCAAAAGACAAACTCAGGATCCAAAAAGATCTTCACAAACTCGAACAATGGGCCCTATCCAACAAAATGAGTTTCCATGTGGAGAAAAGCAAAATCTTACACTTAGGCAGGAAAAACCAAAAGCATGAATACAGATTGGGCGAGACCTGGCTTAAAAACGGTAACTGTGAAAGGGACCTTGGAGTCCTGTGAACAGGAAAGCATTTGCTTGCTACACAAAAGTTCCCAGATATAATTCCGGGAGTGTCCCGTGGCAAGAAGCTGATGGAAAAGGCCTTCCTCACGCATGGCGTCTGCTGAAAGTCAAAAAGATCAGAGAGACGGTCCAGTTGTTAAGGTGCCAGACTAAAAACTAGGAAACCATGAGTTCTAGTCCTGCCTTCACCATTGAAGCCAGATGGATGACTTTGGCCAGTCCTCCCCCCGCCTCTCAGCCCAAATCACCTCACAAGTTGTTGTTGTGGGAAAAACAGAAAGAACATTAGATACCTTCGCTGCCTTGAGCTGTTTATAAAAACAATAATGGTAGGATATAAATAAAATAAAATAAATAAAAAATAAAATAATAATAACAACAATAATAAAGTTGGAAGGGACCTTGGAGGTCATCTAGTCCAACCCCCTGCTCAGGCCGGTAACCCTATACCATTTCGGACCAATGGCTGTCCAGTCTCTTCTTAAAAACTTCCAGTGTTGGAGCATTCTGTTCAGGCAGGTAACCCTTCATTAAACTAGACATACCCAATTAAAAATAAAAATAAAATACATAAAACATGAAGTGGAGGGCAACGGCATGTTTCTGGAATCTGTTTTGTATCTCACTAGAATGCTGAAATCCAGTGCAGAAAACGAGTAAAATGCTTAGAGACAAAACCGCAGAATTTAATTGTCAATTACACTTTTCGTTTGTTTTGTTTTTTTTAAAAAATGTTATTGTGTATTTCACTCATTTGGCTCAGGTTTCCCTTGTTGCTTTTGCTAAATCACAACACGCTGGAAGCTCTGGCTGATTGACTTGCAAGTCACTTGGAAAAAAATTGGTAGCAGATCCAAATTTACTTGGCAGGTTCAAATATACTTTGAAATAGATATAATATGGCTGTAGTGCCAGTGTCCCCGTTTCATTTTTTTCTCCCCTGTTATTAGGACAACAAAATGCACGGAGAGAATTTAGAGCTAGAGTGTCAGTAAACTGTTGTATTGCTGACAAATTTGTCAAATGGTGGAAAAGATATCAAGAGATCTGCTGTCTTGGATCCAACAGAGAGGAATTGGTTAAAAAGTGAAGGCAATTGGTATCTCAGTAGAGATCCTGATCCTCGAATTCTTGATATCCAAGAGAACTGAGAAGAATTATACCTGCACGCTGGACTTGTCGTCATCATCACAGTTGGAAGGGACCTTGGAGGTCTAATAATAATAATAATAATAATAATAATAATGATAGTAATAATAATAATAGTAATAATAATAGTAATAATAATAATAATAATCCCCCAGTGAGGCACTACCTTGACGTGGTTGTGGGGCTTGTGTACTCTGAGGAAGATGAGAGCTATGCCAGAGGTTCAACCATACTGGACAGGTCTCATCAGAGGAGTCAGACAAAGAGTGTCTCTCCCATAAAAAATATGGTGAGACGTAAATTTCAGAATGCCATACCGGCTCGGACGTCGCCCGGGTTAACAAGGTCCGCACTAGATATTGGAGTTCCTGGATATCTGGTGAAAAATGGGTTACAGGACTCAGGACTGTTGGCTGAGCAACCAGGGCCAGCAGCTGCAGAACTACTGGAAGAAAAGG